ATTACATGACTATAATTGGATTGGAAGACGTAAACGCCTACACGGTTTTTTATTTACCTTTCCGGAAGCAACTGAATGTCTCATCACCTTGACTATGTCTAGCAAGTAGCGAACGGAAACGATTCCATAATCAGGCCAGCCAAAGTTGAAGAAGGTAACTGAAATATACCGCAAGTACAAAATAACGTTTTTAGAAAGTAACAGGTTACGTTTGTTTTGCATGAATAATTCAGGATCGTAGGCAAAGCCCTGTTTCATAAGAGGAGTGCCGCAGTACCGATGCTCGAACGGCATCTGTAAGTTAAAAATACTCTTGATTCCGGCCTTCCGCATCTCCTGCACCAGTTGGTAGCGTTGAATGAGAAGCGTCGATGGCCTTGAGGTGGCCAGTATTTCCGGCGTGACCCTGCAATCATGCCATTACGCGCTGATGTTCAACGATGCCGGAACATTGCTTTTATTTTGCTTCCAAGTCATCAAGAAAATAATACAGTACGAGGCTAAGTTTGGTGAAGAGCTGCATCAGAATTATGTTATCATCGGCTGCTGAATCGTCTAGATCCAGTATTTTCATGCACATTCTTTTCTGATAGATGCTACAAAGCTAAACGTTGCACAGATTACGCTATATTGATGCGATATACAAAAAACGACAATTGAGAATTTAAGCCATTAGGGTTATTCAGACTGTCCCTAACTTGACTTCATTAAGGCTGCATGGTGCCACTTTGACATCAACAGTTTTCCAATTCACCATTCACTCAAATCATCCGCTAGTACCACTCCTATTCTTAGTTGCTACTAGTGTCCGTGAATGTATGTTACGAACCTTTAAGCAGAGAATCATAATGCTGGTGACCGTTGATATCAAAATCTCATACTTCCCAGGAACTAGGTTTATGTAAGAGGTTTGTGTGATCATCACATTGAGCCTTGTGCAAAAGCGGAACTTCTCTGGTTTGCAATGTTCGTTGTATTCGCAGCCTCATAACACTCGCTTTAAGGTACAGTTAAGTAACTGCATTGTAGATGGAACAGTTTCACTACCTTGTTGCATGCTAGCCTTCCGAACAACGTTTACATAAAGGATAGCTTAATTA